GGTCAAATTCAAGTTGATGATTTCTCAAAATAGGAAATGAACAGATTAATAGACTTCAAACTAATTTTTATGGATGAAACTGGATTGAAACTGCTACTGCTACTATTTTTTTGTAGATATAATGAACAGTAAACTTTACTTGGTTTACTATCAGGGGCACCCAACGAAACTATAGTTCAAAATCACTTAAACTAGCATTGTTGAACGTATTTTAGTATTTAAACGGTAGATATAGGCATATTTTTATCCCCTAAAATTTTTCATTTGTTCGGATTTCCTAGCTGAAAGTCTAGTGATGCGAAAATTATAGGGATCAAAACTTACCTCTACGAAAATTTCAGCCAGGAAAAATGCTCCCGAAAATTCTAGGTGACCTTTTTAGGGTAAAAATCCGTTAAAAATGGGCAATTATACCATTTTTTAAGATGTTCGAAAATCCTAGGAGAGGCAGGCAAGCAAGAAATCTTACAGCAAATGTTCCGAAATTCTAGATCTCAAATCGTCTTCCGAACAGATATTTTCCAAAAATTGTCGCTGGGTGCCCCTGTACTATGCTGTACAAGGCGGTTGACCGTGCTAACGTTTGAGTCAGTAGATGAAATACTAAAGTGTGACTATTCAAATGAAAGCTACTAAGCAGTAGTTTCCTGTGGTACAGTTTATTATGCTTCGCCAAGGTGGTTCTAACTTGAGTCTGTGGATGAAATCCTGAAGTGTGACCATTCAAATGAAAACTACCGAGCAGTACTTTCCTGTGGTACTGTTGATCATGCCGTACAAGGTGGTTGCAACTTTTGAGTCTGTGGATGAAGTGTAACCATTCACATGTAAGCCACTGGGCAGTACGTTTATGTGGTGCTAGTCTAAAATATCAGCCGTCTCCACTACCTAACCCGTGCAAAATTTGTCTACTAATTTTAATCTTAGGGACCAAACCACGCGGTGTCCACAGCTTGTGCCGCCAGCGCGCATGCTATTGGAGATGCTTTTAGAATGATCCGTTATGGTGATGCTGATCTCATGGTGGCTGGAGGTGTTGAAGCATGCATTATGCCACTTTCAGTGGCGGGCTTTTGCAAGTAAGAAAAATCGTGGGTTGTAGTAGCCTCCCACGCAGGCCTTTTTAGGGGAGCTCGAAACACGAGCTCTCCTATCAACGCCTGCGTGGGAGGCTAGGGTTGTAGGCGTTATTGTATTACTGTGCCGTTGGGACTAGGCCGATGTCAGTGGTCGAAATGGACTATGGGACTGTTTTGTGGGGTTTTGTGGGTGGATTTTTACCCCGTTTTCTTCCCACCCTCAGTAGGAACCTTACGATCCGACAAAGGTGACGTCCGTGAAAACGTCGCTGAAAAACAGACTTGGCTTCATTTTAAACTTTTTGGCGATTATCCCAATTCGCCCTGTTACTTAAAAGAAGGGGATTTTGGCTGGAGCTGAAGAGAGGGGAACGCGCTCAAGTTCGGACAGAGATGGTAGAATTTATCGGCTTGCCGTTCCCGTTCCCAAGTAAACTTAAAATTTGGTCATTTCACGTTGTAGTCGTGCAGTGACGGCAAAGAAATGTACAAAAAAGCGTGATGCACGTGCAGAGTTGTTGTTTTGCTTATTAAACCCATTGTTTTTTGACGTTCCAGTTGCCGTCGTCGTCGTGGTTTCGTAAGGTCCCTAGTACCACGGCGACGACGATGGCAACGAGAAAGTTTAAAAAGCAACAGGTGTAATAAGCAAAATACAGTCGAACCTCTGCTAACGGCCACCTCTCTACAACGACCAGTTTTTTTTGTTCCGGCGAGCAGTCCATACATTGACTCGTGTTTTAATAAACCTCTTTTCAACGGCAACAGCCACTAAAGCGTGTCCCCAACTAACTAAAATAACCTCTCGACAACGGCCAGTTTTTTTCAGCGACTGATGAAAAAGTCAAGAGTGGTCATGACATTTGATGCGTATGGCGAGTTGATGATTAATCGCGGCAGTTGTATTTTGATTTTACTTCATTTATACTGCTGCAGTAAACATAAATTCAGTCTACGATACTTATCGCGAAAGCAGCGAACCTTGCCCGTTTTGTCACGTCCAGACATTTTGATTCAAAAAAATTGTTTGATTTTTTGTGTATTTTATCTCTACGATGTATTATATATGGTTGGAGTACCATTATGGAATACAGTGTCATACGACTACCTCCTCAAAATACAACGTAACTCTCTTAAAAAATCTGCCATATTACACCCCTGCCTCCCAATAACAGCCACCTTTCCACAACGGCCACTTTCTTCTGTACCTAAGGGGGCCGTTGTGGAGATGTTCGACTGTAACAATTCATGTACCATAACGCCTATTTCTGTTAATTTCTCTGCTATCCCTGCACAACTTCGACGTGAAAATCCCTTTAGTACGTCATCAGAAAGGCGATAAATTTTACTGTATCTATCTGAGCTTGGACGCGGTCTTCTCTCTTCAGCTTCAGCTTTGTTTTCTAGCTATATAAGACTGAACGAATTGGAAATAATCGAACGTTTACATCAAAGGGCAAAGGTCAAATTCAAGTTGATGATTTCTCAAAATAGGAAATGAACAGATTAATAGACTTCAAACTAATTTTTATGGATGAAACTGGATTGAAACTGCTACTGCTACTATTTTTTTGTAGATATAATGAACAGTAAACTTTACTTGGTTTACTATCAGGGGCACCCAACGAAACTATAGTTCAAAATCACTTAAACTAGCATTGTTGAACGTATTTTAGTATTTAAACGGTAGATATAGGCATATTTTTATCCCCTAAAATTTTTCATTTGTTCGGATTTCCTAGCTGAAAGTCTAGTGATGCGAAAATTATAGGGATCAAAACTTACCTCTACGAAAATTTCAGCCAGGAAAAATGCTCCCGAAAATTCTAGGTGACCTTTTTAGGGTAAAAATCCGTTAAAAATGGGCAATTATACCATTTTTTAAGATGTTCGAAAATCCTAGGAGAGGCAGGCAAGCAAGAAATCTTACAGCAAATGTTCCGAAATTCTAGATCTCAAATCGTCTTCCGAACAGATATTTTCCAAAAATTGTCGCTGGGTGCCCCTGTACTATGCTGTACAAGGCGGTTGACCGTGCTAACGTTTGAGTCAGTAGATGAAATACTAAAGTGTGACTATTCAAATGAAAGCTACTAAGCAGTAGTTTCCTGTGGTACAGTTTATTATGCTTCGCCAAGGTGGTTCTAACTTGAGTCTGTGGATGAAATCCTGAAGTGTGACCATTCAAATGAAAACTACCGAGCAGTACTTTCCTGTGGTACTGTTGATCATGCCGTACAAGGTGGTTGCAACTTTTGAGTCTGTGGATGAAGTGTAACCATTCACATGTAAGCCACTGGGCAGTACGTTTATGTGGTGCTAGTCTAAAATATCAGCCGTCTCCACTACCTAACCCGTGCAAAATTTGTCTACTAATTTTAATCTTAGGGACCAAACCACGCGGTGTCCACAGCTTGTGCCGCCAGCGCGCATGCTATTGGAGATGCTTTTAGAATGATCCGTTATGGTGATGCTGATCTCATGGTGGCTGGAGGTGTTGAAGCATGCATTATGCCACTTTCAGTGGCGGGCTTTTGCAAGTAAGAAAAATCGTGGGTTGTAGTAGCCTCCCACGCAGGCCTTTTTAGGGGAGCTCGAAACACGAGCTCTCCTATCAACGCCTGCGTGGGAGGCTAGGGTTGTAGGCGTTATTGTATTACTGTGCCGTTGGGACTAGGCCGATGTCAGTGGTCGAAATGGACTATGGGACTGTTTTGTGGGGTTTTGTGGGTGGATTTTTACCCCGTTTTCTTCCCACCCTCAGTAGGAACCTTACGATCCGACAAAGGTGACGTCCGTGAAAACGTCGCTGAAAAACAGACTTGGCTTCATTTTAAACTTTTTGGCGATTATCCCAATTCGCCCTGTTACTTAAAAGAAGGGGATTTTGGCTGGAGCTGAAGAGAGGGGAACGCGCTCAAGTTCGGACAGAGATGGTAGAATTTATCGGCTTGCCGTTCCCGTTCCCAAGTAAACTTAAAATTTGGTCATTTCACGTTGTAGTCGTGCAGTGACGGCAAAGAAATGTACAAAAAAGCGTGATGCACGTGCAGAGTTGTTGTTTTGCTTATTAAACCCATTGTTTTTTGACGTTCCAGTTGCCGTCGTCGTCGTGGTTTCGTAAGGTCCCTAGTACCACGGCGACGACGATGGCAACGAGAAAGTTTAAAAAGCAACAGGTGTAATAAGCAAAATACAGTCGAACCTCTGCTAACGGCCACCTCTCTACAACGACCAGTTTTTTTTGTTCCGGCGAGCAGTCCATACATTGACTCGTGTTTTAATAAACCTCTTTTCAACGGCAACAGCCACTAAAGCGTGTCCCCAACTAACTAAAATAACCTCTCGACAACGGCCAGTTTTTTTCAGCGACTGATGAAAAAGTCAAGAGTGGTCATGACATTTGATGCGTATGGCGAGTTGATGATTAATCGCGGCAGTTGTATTTTGATTTTACTTCATTTATACTGCTGCAGTAAACATAAATTCAGTCTACGATACTTATCGCGAAAGCAGCGAACCTTGCCCGTTTTGTCACGTCCAGACATTTTGATTCAAAAAAATTGTTTGATTTTTTGTGTATTTTATCTCTACGATGTATTATATATGGTTGGAGTACCATTATGGAATACAGTGTCATACGACTACCTCCTCAAAATACAACGTAACTCTCTTAAAAAATCTGCCATATTACACCCCTGCCTCCCAATAACAGCCACCTTTCCACAACGGCCACTTTCTTCTGTACCTAAGGGGGCCGTTGTGGAGATGTTCGACTGTAACAATTCATGTACCATAACGCCTATTTCTGTTAATTTCTCTGCTATCCCTGCACAACTTCGACGTGAAAATCCCTTTAGTACGTCATCAGAAAGGCGATAAATTTTACTGTATCTATCTGAGCTTGGACGCGGTCTTCTCTCTTCAGCTTCAGCTTTGTTTTCTAGCTATATAAGACTGAACGAATTGGAAATAATCGTGAAAAGGTTTGAAAAGACGAAGTTTGATCTGACGTTGTCAGATCGTAAGGTCCTTAATAGCCTGCATGACAGGCGTTCGAAATGGAAGGGGAAAGGATTTCGCGCGCGCGAGGGAGAAGAGAAGAGAAGAGGGGAACGCCTGCCACGTGGCTAAGTCCCTAGTAATCTCGTACCCAGATCTTCCACGGTCAAGGGAAATACGTTAGACAGTGAGATCTCGGTACGAGATTAAGTCCCTAGGAAAGAGGTGATTGCAGTTCGTCAAACCACCGCCCCGGTCTCCCGTCAACTTCAAAATGACCAATAGCTTTTTTATTTCCTTAACCAGAATGCGAGCACTGACCACCAAGTTCAATGATCGTCCTCAAGAGTCATCGCGGCCGTTTGATAGCCAGAGGTCTGGGTTTGTGATGGGAGAGGGAGCGGGCATCATGATTTTAGAGGTACGTTGTGGATGAAAGTTAGCGATGCCAGTGCCATACACTGCAATGAAAAAATTAAATAAACTGCTTTTTAACCATCAAAGAAGAAAATAGGTCATGGAAACTAACAATGGGAACCTCCATTTTGGAAAAATTCAGTGAAACGAAGATTTTATCTAACTATCCCGCTCTATGTTTTTTTGCAAACGTTGTTCTGTTTGTAGTCCGTGAAAACCTCCGCAGGATGTTTGTTTTTTTGCAAGACCTCGTTTTTTTGTTTTACTTAATTAGTTTTCCTGTAGCTGCTGAGATTTGAAGCTGTATAATTGCTGCCAAATGAAAAGGTGGTGCTTAACTAGTAGGAGTAAATCAACCCTCCACAATGTTCACTGTTTTCTTTTGTTACCTTAGGAATACGAACACGCGATTACTCGTGGTGCAAAAGTGTATGCGGAACTTCTGGGGTATGGACTTTCAGGTTGGAGTTATTTTGTTTGCAATCAATAAGCTGTTGTTGTATAGCCATACTTTTTACTTTTAAACTAACAGACCAATCATAAGTTGTTTTGGTCTATTAATTTGTCGTAAACATTCTACTCTGTTTGGTTGTTAAGCAATCCTATCAGCAGGGGGTCGTAAGCATTTAGGTTATTTAGTATCGAAAGTATAACTAACCGTGGGTCTCTGAGCATATGTAATAACAGTGTGTGAAATTTTAGTTTATGTCGTGTTGCATTTAATAACTATGACGCACAGTACGTTTTGGTTAACCCTTTGAGCCCTTTGAGTGATCAGGATCAAGTTTCTCCTTGTAATATCAGTGCTTTGTAAAACAGAGTGGTCATGAGAATTACGGGCATGATCACACGAGATGAATTTGCCTGATATTTTATCAACTTCTCCCCATTTCTTCTACAGGAAATGAATAGGAGCAACAAATGAGAATTCAAATTTTGATCTTAGGGTTTAAAGGGTTAAGCAGTTTCTACTGTTTGCTTGTATCTGTACAGGAGACGCGTATCACATCACGGCCCCATCAGAGGGAGGGTACGGGGCGTATCTGGCCATGAAGAATGCGCTCAGAGACGCACGTCTCGAACCACAAGACATACACTATATCAACGCACATGCTACATCTACTCCACTTGGTAGGGCTCTTTCACTTGTCCTTTTTATAATAATATATTATGAATCAAATTCCAATGGACAAAAATAAACCTACCCACGGCTTTTGACCGCAGTGAATCCAATATAGCATTTGTCGAGAACCAATGTCAAGACCGCTATCTCCCCCTCCCCAAAACACTGTTGTGAGATGTTGTGACGTCCGTTGCCAGCCCTTGCTCGGACCACGTGACCCGAAACACATAGGCCGCGCGGAATAATAAGGCCGAGGGACTAGGCAACATTGGTCGGTGAGGACATATTTGGCAAAAGGTAATAACCTTTCCAAAACCTTAACTAACATGTCATTAAATTCAGGCTAGCAGTATCGATTTTTTCCCTCTATTTCTTAATTTCCAGGGGACGCTGGAGAAAACAATGCAATAAAAACTTTGCTTGGAAGCCATTCCAGAAATGTTCAAGTTTCTTCCACTAAAGGTAACTTTCTTTTGGCTTTGATTTTTAAGCCGTAAGGGACAGTTTAAACGGAAATTGTTGAGAAACTAACCTGTTATATGCCCTTAGTTAGCCAGGACGAACAAAAGTAAAAGCAAAAAAGACGAAAATGGAGAAGAAGAAAGAAAAAGAAGACAGACAAACAAACAAATTAACAAAAAAGAAAGAGAGAAGAAAACGGCCGAGGACTGGGGAGAGAAGAGTTGGTTTCTCACCCCATTCCTTGCCAATATTTGTACGATAATGTGTATTTAGCCCTGTTTGGCTAAAATTGTTTTTTTGTCTGATTCAGTTGATTGGTTCGACGCGTCCTAAGTTCGACGTCTGACCCAACAGACGATCTTAACTTAATTTAGGTCAACCCAAATGAGAGTTTGGTTCGTCTCATGAAAAGTTCAACGTTTGGCCTAGGCCTAACCTCCTCTTATACGGCGCAAATTACAGCTCTACTGGCTTGTGTTGTCTTTATTTTCTAGGGGCCATTGGTCACCTGTTAGGTGCAGCTGGTGCGGTGGAAGCTATTTTTACCGTCTTAACTGTTGCCCAGGTGAGATTTCTTAGACTTGCATTCATTGCTTTCCATTAGTGCAACTACCATACGATTGCTAAGCTCTTCCCTCTATGTTGTATGCCCGTTTTGGGCATCGGTTGGTCATGGTGACCTCTCTGGTCCCCAACATAAAGCTGCTATTTTGTCATTCACAAGTAATTTCTCAAGTTTTATTGCGAATGAAGACACGTTACTGGCATTATAAACAAAACGAAGTAGCCAACCGTGATAGAGCCCTTGTAGATCCCACTCAGTGCCTCATTCGATGGCTGTGTGTACCATTCCTTTACATAATTTAATTATGCCTTGAATTTTTATTCTTTACATTTTCTTAATCGTTTTCAATTCTTAGGGTGTGGTCCCGCCCACATTGAACTTGCATAGTGTAGACTCAGAGGAAGTCTTTGACATGAACTACGTGCCGCTGACGTCTCAGCCGTTTCTTGCTCCTGAACCGAGAACAGCACTGACCAACTCGTTTGGTTTCGGTGGCACCAACGCTTCTTTGTGTTTTAGACAGTTTGTCGCCCCGCCCTAGGTTCACTGTGGGGTAATGAGTGCGGACAGTGGAAAGTGAAACGCGGGATACATCTCCGTATCTTGCGCCCTGATGTGGAGTCTGCCAGATCAATACAAAGTTTTGTGAAGCTGGACCGTCTCCGGTGACCAGGTTTGGTTGTATAAAGACCTCCACGAACCAGGGAATTTTTTGTCGCGCGATCTTTTGTCGCGGCACCATGCATACTTCCTAGACGGCGTCATGTTGGATTAGAAGAGTGAGCTTGTCTCATGGCCGTATCATTGACTCCTATTTGCAGATCCGTCGCACATCTCCCACACGCTAGGACACAATATGTTTGGATCATAATGTTCTATCCACCTAAGCTAAGGAAAAATCTTCTGCGACTTTTGTAGCTAGCCACCACACACGAAGCGACGAGTAAGGGGTGACATTTTCGCGCGACGAAAAGTTGCCCGGTCGTTGTAATGACGTTAAAGAAGAACAGCCCACATTAAGACGCACGTTTTATAGTTGAACTCGAAAATCGAAATCAACAAAAAGAAAACGAGATTCCTGCGTCCCCGTCCAGATCGGAAGTCTCTAGCTTACCCTCACACGACAAACTCAAGACAGCTGGCCGTGAAGTATTGTAAAATTGTCGCCGGCGGGAAATTTCGCGAAGGGTCTTTGATTGCTGCGCACACAGAGTGCCTGGCAAATTCCGTGATCGTTTGCCCTTTGTAACTTTTAAAATGCTTTTAAGATTTGTATGAGATTAAATATACCTGTAGGTTGAGAATATCGTGAAGTACTATGATGAATATTCACATGTAGAGCTAAATTAAACGTAATCCTACCCTCGTCTTGTATATCGCCGTTCTTGAAGCTAGGAGCCGCCACCGCATTAAAGCGTTCCAAGGTTTTCTAAAAGTTTTGAAATGATGAATAGTTGCGTGTAGCCAGATGTATAATTTTGAATGAGTAGAGATGCAGTCTTCAGTAAAGAATTTCGTTTTAGTTTTTATTTGCAAATATTTTTCTTCTTACCAAATTCCTTAAGACAAGTGCTGAAGTAATAAATTTAAATATGCTGTTGCAACTAATGTTAACGGCGAGGTAATAAAACTCTATCAAATAAACAAAAAATAAATACTTAAATAAATATGTCGTTAAATAAATGAATTAATTATTGAATGCTCAAGTGCCGTCTATAACCGAATTTTGGCAGACTGGGGGAGCTTAACTTTTACACAAACCACCCAGGTGGAAATTTTGTAGAGATACATTTAATTATCCCTATTTGTAATAACTTGTTATTCACAGTGTAACAAATAACTAGCATATAACGTAATAATAAATTATTTGGAAAACGGTTGATGTAGCAGTTGGTATAAGACCCCAAATAAAATATTGTCTAATGTCAGGCTTCTATGTAGGATATTTGAGGGGTAGAAGCTTCCTCCCCAAAATGCCTCGATTCCCCTCAAACAATGTTATCATTACAATATATAAGTAACTATATCGGAAAAATCATCCAGACGCGACGAGATCAGTGCACATGAAGTAAGTATTCCCTTTCTAAGGACACTCTATGACAAGGAACATGATCACGACTAAAAAATAAAATATAATACCACTGTATCATTTCCCAAAATTGTGTCTCAAAATGCGCCAGATTTCATCTCGGCGCGTATTCATTTCAAAAAATTTCCGGTGGTCATGTCCCCGAAACCCGCTAGGAAACTCGTGGCCTTCGGCCACTCGGGACTAATCTCCCCCAAACGATATAGATAGATAGAACCCTGAATGTCTATTGTCTATATACACTCGAATCTCTCTTAGCGGACACCTCCAGTATAAGAAAGACACTTCTGTAAAACGAACACCTAGAGCTGGTCCCTGCCTTTCTTTACTCCCTTTATTTGACTCTCTATAAGATAGACACCTCTATAAGACGGCCACCTCTGTAAAACGGACACCTAGAGTTGGTCCCTGCCTTCCTTTACTCCCTTCATTTGACTGTCTATAAGACGGACACCTCTGTAAAACAGACACCTAGAGTTGGTCCCTGCGTTTCTTGACTCCCTTTATTTGACTCTCTATAAGATGGACACCCCTGTAAAACAGACACCTAGAGTTGGTCCCTGCCTTTCTTTACTCCTTTTATTTGACTCTCTATATATAAGACAGACATCTTTCTAAGACGGACACTTAGTAACGGTACTCATGGTGACCGTCTTGGAGAAAGTTGATTGTACTGAGCTTTTTCGTTTTCCTCTTTCAATGAAGTGTGTAGCCTCCCACGCGGGCGTTTTTAGAGGAGCTCATATTGGATCAGTTTAGGTTTCTGGGAAACTGACCACCCACCCCTCGCCTAAGTCAACATTATCACTTCTCAGTTAGGGCAAAATGTTGGCTTAGGAGAGGGGTAGGTGGGCAGTTTCCCAGAAACCCTCGTATTTCGTCCCTCCCCACAGAGGAGGAGAGGGACAAAATACGCCTGCGTGGGAGGCTACGAAGTATACCAAAGGGTTGCTTCCCTGCTCCAGTGACGAGCGCGACGTGGCTCTTCAACCTCTTTTAAGTAACCTACCGGGAAGTCCCTCATTTTCCTTGGGAATAGTAGAACAAGCGAAATGAATGATAAATAATACGTAAATGAACAAAATAGATTAAAATAACTAACGATTTAGAAGAAGCACATCCACAGATCTTCAATTGAATTTGTACTGATTTCCCCTTTCCGCATTATCTTCATTCCATAAATAAATATATTATCATAATTAACCATTTAGCAGTGGCACATCCCCAGATCTTCAAATGAAATTTGTATTACCCCTGTTCACATAATCTTCCCTCTATGAATAAATAAATTGTCATAATTAAGGATTTAGTAGTAGCACATCCTCAGATCTTCAATTCAATTTGTATTTCCGCAGTTCACATTATCTTCATTCCATAAATGAATATATCAACACAATTAAGATTTATCAGTAGCGTATCCACCGATCTTTAATGAAAAACGTTTGTATTTGCGCAGTTAACATCATCTTGCGCAGTTAACATCATGTTCATTTTATTATTACAAGGTTTATTATTATAAGGAGTTTTATCGAGCCGTTCCTGAGATAATAAATAATAAACAAATGAATAAATAAATTCAATAAATTAATAACTGACGATTTAGTACCGTCAACTCTTTCTAAGACGGACCCCTTGGGGACCGGCACTGTCCACCTTAGAGAGATGTTTGTCTCGTAGAGAGTCAAATAAAGAGAGTAGAGAAAGGCAGGGATCAACTCTAGTTGTCCGTTTTATAGAGGTATCCGTCTTAAAGAGGGTCAAATAAAGAGAGTAAAGAAGGCAGGGACCAACTCTAGGTGTCCTTTTGACAGAGTTGTCTGTTAAGGGAGAGTCGGCTGTAGCCCCTTTAATAGTAGTAGCAAAAAAGAATGATTACGTTATTTGCTAGTCTAGGCCAGTCTGTATAGAAAAAAACTGTGCCCTAGTTAAGTCCATGAGTAGGGCCCTAGACCGAACTGAAGACCTTGGGCAAAATGTTTTCCAATACGAACCTCTTGGCCGACAAATAACATATAATTATGTACTTAGGAATTCGAATTTGTAGTTTAAAATTTAATAACCATGCATTGTTGGTAAACATTGAAATGCTAAGCGTGAACTTCTGTAGTTTGCCTGGCGAAATTCAGGGGCACCCAACGTGAATTTTTGGATAATATCTGTTCGGAAGACGATTTGAGATCTATAATTTTCGGAACATTTGTTGTAAAATTTCTTGCTTGCCTGCCTCTCCTAGCATTTTCGAACATCTAAAAAATGGTGTAATTGCCCATTTTTAACGGATTTTTACCCTAAAAAGGTCATAGAGAATTTTCCTTAGCCTTTTTCTGCCTGAAATTTTCGAAAAGGTAAGTTTTGATCCCTATAATTTTCTGATCACTAGACTTTCAGCTAGGAAATCCGAACAGATGAAAAATTTTTAGGGGATAAAAATATGCCAATATCTACCGTTTAAATACTAATATATGTTTAACACTGCTATGTTTAAGTGGTTTTAAACTATGTTCTCGTTGGTTGCCCTTGGAAATTCAGCACATATTGAACAAGATTACGTGTTTAATTATCTCCTCATAAATGTTGTCGCTTGTTTTTTTAACCCGCCTGAGTAAACTATGTTAAATGACATCAAAAGACGTTAACTGCATTTGTTTAAAGCAATTCAAGTGCGTAATTGCGCCCATTGGTACAAGGCAGACTTCAACTGATCCGCAAGAGTTATTGTGTTTTTCAATTACAACCTGCATCTGTCAGATTATGTTAGCTTGCAGAACGTATTCCTTGTCATTTTATTTACCGTCTGCTTGGCGTATGTAATTTGGTTTGCTTTCTTTGTTTGTTTTTCAATGCGAATTAAATTTTTATTGCATACGTTATACCAGCAAATTTCCTCTTAATAAACCTAAGGAAGTGTACATGTTTGATCTGCGACACTTGCAGCTTAAAGTTACAAGTATATGCGTTGTAAGTGTGTATAATTTTGGAAAGCCTTCCCTGAAATTTGCTCGCAAAGGATCTGAGTTCTATTGGAAAGCAGTATTGTTTAGGTGTAAAGAAGATTTTGCCGACCACGTTAGTGCATTTTCAGAGTTTCGAACGTTAATCTAATTTTCTTCTCCGTGCGAACGGATCATAGTTTCCGTCCAATTTCGCTGTTCTATTGTCTGTTTGTTTAACAAAATAAATTGTTTGCGGGGTGGATTTGCCTTAAGCTCCTGAAATGTGGGAACATTTTTTAACACCGCCAAGAAATGCTTTAAGAGCGGAAAAACAACTACAGTGATATCTTTAAGTTGCGAGTTCGTGAAAGCGCGTGTTAACCGCAAAGATTACCTGCCAAATTATTACCTATGACTCATAAATTAAACGTCTACTTTGAGGGAGGGGTGGGTGGATAGTGTATGTAGCATTTTCGAGACTCTGTATACCCCTAAAATGTATGTAGGGACATCCTATGA